CAAATATAATTATTTATATGATTTGAATGTGCAAAAAATCTTTTATATTTATTTTCATCATGAGCTGAAAACTACTCCCAATGCCGTTAAAAAAATATGTAGGAAGGATCAAAGTTTTTTTGGCAAAATTTTGGTTAAGATAATGTGACTTAATATAATTGTCATGTAAATTACATCCAAATTGGTTTACATGCATCATTAATATTAAAATTAAAATTATAAAAATTATAAATATATTATTATTTATTCTTATAAATCTTGACACATTGTTAGCAATGTGTCAATAATTTTACATGTTTAGACATGTAAAAGTATTGTGAATAAAATGTGTTGTAATTTACTTGGAATGTGCATTAAATATTTATGAAATTTCTATGGATACACACATTCTTTCTAAATATGTAGTAGTAAAAGTATGTGATGATGAAGATTAAGGAATAACCCACTTGATTGTGTAAGATTTTTACTCCAAAAGGATGAAGACATATTGAAAAGTTATGAATGAAGAATAATACAAATTACAAATATACTTCTTTCACATAAATAATTATAATTATTTTATATATTTTAAATTATCCAATTGATTAAAGTAATTAGTGTGTCAACCTATCCATGTAAGATTACACATTTAAATTATGTATAAAATCAAATAATATATTGGATTTAATTCATATGTTAAAATATATTATATAAATTGATTAATCAAGATTTCTCTATAACTTTTGAAGATTATTCACTAAAAAAAAGGTCTATTTAATGAAATTTGATAGGAAGAATTTGTTTAAGTTAGGTTAAAATGTGTGATTCATTGATATTAATTTTTTTTCGAATTAAATAAACATTTATGATCATATTACAACATCGTATATCATCCTATCTACAACTAAAATTTTTGCAATATTTTAGTCTCTTGAATTTATTATTTGAAATTCATCAAAATAAAGTACACCAATATTTTGCATTGTTGATTCTACTATTTTATTAAGATGTAGAGGTGAAATTATCCAATTCATTGAACTTTGTGTGTACTACATCACAAATTAAAAAGTCGTATACTTAGAGTTGATATATGTTAATTTTCATATTTTAGTATCCAATCCTACGAAAGAAATTTTTAAAGAAACTTACGGTATTATTTTATCAAAGTAAAATAAATTGATAAATTATAGTCTATTTAGCAAAAAATAAAGTGCAAAAGTATGTATTTGATTTCTCTATTAGAGATTCTATACATTAACTTGCAATATATAAATTAATCAGATCATATGTGACCTGAATAAATTGATAAATTTGATGCATACTGTTGTATAATTAGTAATAAAAATTTAAAAAATTTAATCTAAAAATTTATAATTTTTAAAAATTTCAAAATATTAAAATATTTTAAAAATATTTATCATTAAAAATGTAAAAATGGTTAAATATATAGATATAATAATTATTAATGATTTTTCATATTTACAAATTTGATTAGTTTATAATACAATAGTAAACATTAATTAGTTATATAGACCAGTTACAAGATTTATTTGGAGATCTGATAATAAGTAAATTCATCAAAATTAAGATTATTATATTTTTATTTTAAAAAAATAATTAAAAAAATAATTATTGAATATAAAATAACCTATTTTACTTACATTCATATTTGTGATATCTAATCTTGTAAACAATTGCTTATCACAAGATGAATGTACAAAATTTTACTAACTTTTTCTTTAAAATCTAGGATTTAGCTTTTTGACTGGAGACCTTTCTAAAATATTTGAAAAATGCTTACAAGCCTTCTACAAACAACAACTACAATTTTTTCATGCATATATATGTTTATGGGGATGATTAACAAAGTCTTACCGTGAGTTATAGTCAAAACTTGGACATCATTATCCTTAAATGAAAATTCAACTTTTTAGCAACAATCCGTCATTAGTGTGGATCCCTAATTAATGTATACTAATAATATATTGTACATTAATTAAGTGATGATTTGATTTTTTAAAAATTACTTAACACTAATGGGTATTACAAGTATGATTTTTGACAATTTTTGCATACTCCATGGAGTGTTTTGTGTAATCCACCTATCATATGCTTTGAATTTTTTGGTCTAAAAAAATTTCCATTCATTTATTTGTAGCCACATGATTGATTATAAATATTGAAAAGTATATAAAACAACTTAGGGATTAGAAGTGCAAACTTTTCTTTATAAAAACTACACGAGTTGGAAAAACTCATATAGTCAAGAACAAAAATTATAGCATGGAAAATTTTACATTGCACGCACTCACTCATAGGCTACTCTATCATTTTATTTATTATGACATATAAATAAATCCACATTCTAATAAAGATATCACCAGCAGGGTATATTTTGAGTCAAGTATCTACATTAATCAAATGTCGTCTAATTAGTGTATATGATTGTCTATCCCCAGCAAGTGTCTAATTACATACAGTAATTAGGGTATCGACACGTGTAGAATCAAAAATCCTGCATTAGTCGCAGGACTAGTGCAGGATAGAGTAATTAGTATGAAAGAGAATGTTAAACACAAAATTTGAGTTATATGTAAATTTTCCCGAGCAAAGTTCAAGCGGAAAGATTTCTCCAACGGGTGCCATAAGAAGCGATCCATTAAACTTCCGGTATAGATCCTCACTTTCGTCACAAGTTTGTTCTTACTTCCAGACAAGGTGAGCACCCGAAACTGATTGCAGAACTCGGCAGTAGCAGGAACGGGGAATGCGGGATAAACTCGACCGGAGAGCAAGTCTTGACCAGTCTAATTAATTGAACGACGACGTTGTTATGGCGCTGCGGCTCTGCTGATGTCGTGGATGTTTTATTTTCAAACACGTGTCACATGGCGGGAACACATTTCGAGTATGCACTGGACGCTGTACCGGACTCAGGTCTCGTCATTTTGGGTCATTTCTCTCCTGCAGAGGGTGCGGTCGTAGTTTTGAGTAGTGCGACGGTAAGGGAGCCATTTGATTTGGCGCGAAGCTCGTTAGAAGCTCGCGAACCGAAATACCTCCTCTTGAGATGTACTTTGAGGATATCACAGCGCGTCATTGCAATAGAATTCAAGGGTTTGTGGAGACGCCGAGCGATCCTCGGATTGACGTTGCGCCGTCTTTGGTCATGTGTGTACTGAAGAGTATACGCCTTCTCGGTCTCGGCAGCAATTGCGCTGCAGGCGTTTGAATGTTCTTGACAATCCCGACCGTTTCTTGCATGGAATTGACGTTCGTCCTACCCGCATGAGCTACGTCTTTGATGGGCGTCCATAAAGCTTTGAGCATATCATCTTCATGCCCGCTTCCATTTCGGTAACACAACCAGGTTTTTACAATGCTCCCTATCTTCTGTCATACCTCGTTCAGTAGGAAAGCAATGTCATGTTGTCTTCTTTTTCTTCGGTTTTAGCGTATCTACCTCTGGTTTGATTTGATTGCTTGTTTGTGTTTACCTGTCCAGCGCTGCACATGCGATTGTGCAAGTCGCAGCACTGTGAATCAGGATTTGAGTTTGTAGTTGGCGAGTGCTTTGAATGGAATAACTCCATGGTCCTCTTAGCTGTGTTGCCGTCTTGACTAGAGTGTTCTTGCTGTCGAATGGAGTACTCTGTTTTTGTTGTCGGTAAAGGAGACGAGAATTGATATTTGTAGGACAATGGTAACGAACATGAATGGAATGACGTGCTTGACAACGACAGTATGTCTTCACGGAGTTGATAATTCTTGTGATCTTTAGTTATACATCTGAGTTTGTCTAACATCTGGCCTATTAGCTCAGTTGGTTAGAGCGTCGTGCTAATAACGCGAAGGTCACAGGTTCGAGACCTGTATGGGCCACTGCTCTCACTTTTTGAATGTACGTTTTCTATGGAACAACTTGCACAGTATTCCAGTGTGAAGCGAAATCAGTAGAAATGATATCTGTGGTTTGCTTTGTTTGTCAAGCGATGAGCAAAGTTTTCAACTGGCCTATTAGCTCAGCTGGTTAGAGCGTCGTGCTAATAACGCGAAGGTCACAGGTTCGAGACCTGTATGGGCCACTGGTTTCTTACCTTTGAAAGTACGTTTTCTACGGAATAACCTGCACCGTGTTTCAGTTTGTTCCAAAAATCCGCAGAACCGATATGTGTGGTTTGGTCTCTTTATCAAGAGATGATGAAGATTGTCAACTGGCCTATTAACCCAGTTCGTTAGAGCGTCGTGCTAATAACCCGAAGGTCACAGGTCCGAGACCTGTATGGGCCAATCTTTAAGCGTGGCACCTATTAGGTTCGCATTTGTCGACAGTGCTCAACTCGTATTGTTTCATATGAAGTTGCCAAACGACGTTGTTAAATGACAGAGAGATTTATTGTGTCGAGTATAACTTATGTTTTAGAGTTATCACAGTCGCAGAGCTCATACATCCTGTACCGGTTTACATGTAGAACTTGCACTGTTTCCCTCATTTTAGTCCATAGTGCTTCAGTAGTAGGATTGCTGAGGTTTCACACTGATCAGATTTATGTCTGGAAACTTTCACTCTATGTACGGATTGGTTAGGGCTAATCAGTAAATAAATGAGTAAATTTATCATAATTTGACGTGTGTCCACTATGCCGGGTACATAGGGGCTTTATTGGCTTATGATCAGTGTGATTGAGAGCTACGCTCAGTCAGCTGTTTAATATGTAGCTAATTTCATCTCATCAGCAGGAACTATTCCGTTTGTTTCTGTTTCTCGAAGTTTGTGCATCACACAATGAGAGTGATCAGGTTCCACTGTCGACTCTGACAGGAGAAGCAACAGAGGGAAGCAGAAGTCTGTAGCAAGGATAGTGTGCGTCATCTGCAGGTCTCAAATCCGAGCGGTCGATACTCAACTGATTTCGAGTTTGTGGCTCTAACCACTCGCCCAAATAAACTTGCACAGAAAGACTTGCAACTTATACCAAACCAAACACAACATATATGGCTAAAGGATGAGAAAAAAAAACTAATCCGTCAACTGCAGGGTTCGAACCTGCGCGGGCAGCGCCCAACAGATTTCAAGTCTGTCGCCTTAACCACTCGGCCAAATTGACATTCTTATGTAAGCCTTCAGTACTTGCAAATTAGTACTTGCAAATTAGCTGATTGGGACTGAGAACTGCTTTTCGCACGGACCTTTCTTGGCAGTTCTTTCGTAGCAGTTCTTGCAGTATATTCTTTATGAAGGATGTGCTAATGTTGTGCTGAAAGGTCAAGACCTCTGTCTCCTCTGAAGACTTCCTCCTGTAAATTTAGCTCTGACTTTGTTCTTCATATCATTCCGCGAATTGCTAATGTTTGTCACGGATACAATATACGGTTCTTAGTGCCCTTCATTTTATCCAAATTGTCCACATGCACCACTGTTAACGAATGTCTGTCCCGTAGAAAACAGCGCTGTGCTTTAGGGTAGATATTGCCAATGGGGTTTAGGTGAGCTCCTATGAGGTGATGGATCCCAATCCTCAACGTACGAAGTAAAGCGTTATACAGATAGCATGTATGAAACTTGGAGTTTTCGATTCGAAGCTTGGAGCGAAGATTTTAAGCGGAGCCTTCCAATGGCAGCATTGTCCCAGGTGTTCAAAGGCTTGCAATTATGAGAATTGCAGACATATCAAATTAAGTACTGGTATGAAATGTTTGAGGATTGGAGCAAATTCCGTTGTAGTCTAGTTGGTTAGGATACTCGGCTCTCACCCGAGCGACCCGGGTTCAAGTCCCGGCAACGGAATGCACATTCGGCAGTGCCTTTTTCTCTTGATCACAAAGTCTGGTTAATATTCACTAGTTTTGTTCGAGGATTACTGCCTTATCCACCTTGTTGGACGACAAGATTAGCAGATCTTGGCTCCGATCTTTCAATGATGTTTACGTAAGTTGTGTAGTCTTGTTTGAGAATTACTGCCTTATCTAGCTTGTTGGACGACAAGACTGGCAGATCTTGGCTCGTATCTTTCAGTGGTGCAGCTTGTTGAACAACAGAATTGGCAGATCTTGGCTCCGATCTTTCAATGGTGTTTACGAAGTTGTGTGTTATATATGTACTGTTTCCGTGTATATAGGTACTCAGATCGTAATCTTTCCCAGATAAGATTTGAGATCCGTTTGCTCTTCTGTTGAGATTAAAGTTCTGCTGCGCTGTGGTTTCTCGTCATCCTCCTTCGCGCTGTGAGGAAACATATGGATGCATCGTCACGTAGTGATCACTCTGCGACTTCGTAGATCCCTCATTTAGCTGTACCCACCTCACGAGCACTGCAAATCATCTATAGTCTCGTAAAGAGTATGTTAGCACATTTCAGAATTAATATCATTAATTTGGTTCGCGCACCGTGTTGCCAGTGTGTTTTACTTAAGGCTCACAAACTTCTCAAGTCTCGAATGAACTGATGATTTTCTGTTCTCACACCATGTCAAGCAAGATTTGTGTCTAATAGGAAGACTCCTCCATTTGAAATCAGATGTTTGAGTTATCTTTTCTGCTCTCAGGGTTATACATTCCGTGTCATACTTCTTCCCCTCTTGGTCGTTGTGAGACTCATGCCATCAGGCCTTAAACCTGAACTTCAACCTCTTCTGTACTCTTAAGGGCTTTGGAAATATTAGAAAAACGTGCTTTTAACAAATCTGTCATGCCAATTGACCATGTTTTAAATTGATATTAAGATTCATCGTAATTTAGAGTCATCTAGGCTCCCTCCTTTTCCGATTCTAATCCACTCAGGTGTGTTGCCTATGCCGTTTATGTTTATAAATATGATCTTTATTTACTTTGAGCCCCTGTAAAGCTGAAGTGTTATTGCATTGACTTTTTGCTGCAATGTGGACTTTTCTGTCCATAGCTAGTTCCTGAAGATGGAAAACGCAGAACTGGCCAGATTTTGAAGGTGAAGAGAATTATTTTTAACTGTTATAATAGAGCAAATACATGGGCGGGTAGATCCGTCGTAGTCTAGTTGGTTAGGATACTTGGCTCTCACCTGAGCGACCTGGGTTAAAGACTCGGCAGAGGAATGAGGCTGTGATGAGAGGGGTAGCTATACCGATATTTTGTCCGCGATTTTGGGATTGAAGTATTTTAGCGTTGCACGATTGACCTCATTTCTACATCCGCTTGCTTGTCTTACCTGAATTCCCACTCCTGAAGTGTTGCTACCTTACAGTCCAGGTTTTTAGATACATCAGGCAATTTTCCTTGTTCACCTTCACGTTCATCTCTGCGAAACTGATACCATACCTCACATAAGGGGAGTACTCAGTGAATTATATGCTTCAGAGCTATATACTCTTCAATTCTTTTTCTCCTTTGGAAACAACTCATAGTAGCACGGTGTTCCTCACTCTTAGCGGTTACTTACTCGTCTGACTTACTTCCTGTCCCGAAAAAAGGTTTCATCCATTCCTCATCATGAGGCAATAGCTTTCTTCCTTTCGGCGTTGATATTCTTCTTAGCCATATTTATTCTTCGCATCATGTAGGATCATAAGTCTTCTGCTAATCATAAGTATGATGGGGTCTTCCCATCCTTTTTGCTATTTTACTTTGTACTGATCTTATGATCATAAGTATTGTATGCATAGTACTTACTACTTTTCCACTTACTTGAGTAGTACATTCAAGAAATTTGAAACTTCAGGAAAGTTTCTCAAATCAGGGAAAGAATCCTTATGTTTGAAAATATGTCCGTCATAGTCTAAAGGTGAGGATACTCTGTTTTCATCCGAGTGACCCGGAATAGAGTCCGGCAACGGAAGTTATTCTGGAGATACAGTGTTCACGCTTTCTCCGCATCTTTTATCTCTTCCACGCAACTTTCATTCAGCTTTCTCTAGTGGCATCGACTCTTACGCGATTTTCAACAAAGTTGATGCTGTAGATTCCTCAACGTTTAACATTTTTCGTGGCTTAGCGAAGTCTGATTCGGTCTATCTATCATGAGTTCAAGTTTATTTCATGTTATTTAATCGTCTTTGTGTAAGATTCTTTTCAAGTAGGATCTTTCTTTTCGTGATTTTATTGACATTCCTGTTAAATTGAGGAATGATCATGCAGAGAGCTAAGTGATTTCATGGAAGTGCTCTAGCTCGTAGTGTTTGGTGTGTATATCGTCATCAATTATTACTCTAGAAATCTCATGTCCAGGAAACTAACTAAAAGAGGGTGATATCCATGTAAATCTTTTCCTGCCAAGTGTTTAAAGTCTTGTTGGTAAAGCCTTTTATTCCACGTGGCTTCTACCCACTTCTTTTGGTTCATTACGTATTCGCTTTCTATCATTTACTTATCCACTTTCGCAGTCTCTTTACCATGAAGTGGAACAAAGCGATGTCATGGTCCGACGATGTTTAGGGGCAGATCTATTGGATACAATCCGAGAGCCTACATAGAAGTTATGTACGATGACCCTTGTGTATAACTTGCCATTGTCAAATGTTTACTCTGACTACCGTATCATGCATGGTTACAAAAAGATTATTATGAGCTATTTACCACACTTTTAAATGATATGTAACCACTATTGCTCATATGCCGGAGAGAAATGATATTGAACCAGGTTTAGGGTATGGGAAGGATCGCCCCAGAGCAGAGAGTACCTTAGAGGATGTGGGGAGTGTTTTAGTCTTTGTAAAGGTATATTTGATGGAAAGTGAGAGGGAATGTACAATTATTATTTGTTTTTTTATTTTGGTTTTATTGTTATTTAAATTAAAAATTAATATAGACAATTAGTAAATTTGATGTTTTAAAAAATTATGAATAATTTTCGATCTCGGATAGATACTTGGTGAAATGAGATGTTATGGATTGTGGACATATAAGATTATATATTTGAAAGAATATCATGTATGATTATTAAATTTTTTATTAATTATGATATTTTTTGTTTTCATGATATTATTTAGAATGATGTGATTTATCATGTCACCAACTTTTTATTTTGCAAAAAATAAAGATTCAAGTGAGTAAGGTATATAAATATTATAATTAAAATTATTTTGGATGTAAAAATTGTGATTTTGAAGATTATTGTGATTATATTTGTTATCATTTAGGTTATATAGATCATATTTAGATTATATAGATCATGTTGTAAGAGTGGTTAATATTATAAGTTATATTTTGAAGATTTTGAAAATTAGATGTTTGTGTTAATGTTCATTTCATAAGTTAAATTATTTTTTGATTATCATTTGATCAAATTGGTATAAGATTAATATATGAATTAATATAATTTTCAGATGTTTTTCGTTTTTAATTTCTCAAAACAATTGGTAATTTATCCACTGTAACATGAGACGATATGCAGACTATTGTGTATAAAATTTGTCACACATTTCAATCATTGACTTCAATTGTTCTCAGATTATATGAGAAAGTCATTCATCATCAGAATTTGAACTGTGTAAAATTTTATTGACAAAAATTTCTGATATCAAAAGATATGATCTCTGTACTAATTTCGTGATAGTCAGTGCAGTCTTGTAATTTTGATTGTATATATAAATTTCAAGCTATCACTCCGTACTCAAAACTCGTCTAATCGAGTCAAAATTTCAATCAAAACACAAGCCTGAGTCAAAAACTATATCTCTGTTGATTTAGATCTCTCCAAACCCATGTAAAGTTCTAATAAACTCTCCAAATACAATCAAAGGTCTAAATTTATCACTCTAACTTTGAATCATCACTTCAGAGTGACAAATTCTTCAAATCCATCCATTCTTGAGCCCACGTCGTAGTCCCGTCAGCTCTCCAATCCAATCCTCAGATCTCCGAATGTCCCCCTGGAAGGTTTCCAAAACTCCTCAAAACCTCGAAGAAGTTGCCCAAGAGCCCTCATTGGCCCAAACTCCAAGACCAATGAGAATTCAGAGTGTTATTTTGACCTATAGTGTGGCCAAATTAGCTCCATTTTAACTTAGAGCTTTACAACTATCCTAAACACACTACTTAGCCATCCTATACACAATACGAGTTGCCACTAATAAAGAGTCAAAATGACAACTCGAAACCGACTAAGTATGAACGGAACTACAAACGGAACCGGGGAATTTATAACTTGAGAATAATATTTCTCGCCAAAGTTCATAACAATCAACTCCATATGGCTTGTTTTCGGTAAGCAATAGTGATGGATTGGAACCCATGTGTTGAAAGTCACCACTACTGGTAAGTTCAAATCCATAGCGCCCAAACTAAATCAAAAGCACACTTATTTACGTCCCAAATCGCGCCGTAGGAAACAACTGGAAGAATAATCGGGTCTGGAGAGTTTATCACTTGTTGTAGAAAGTTATCTCCAAAATGATACACTAACCACGCCCGAAAATGATCACGATGAAGACACCGGATGTTGATCACAAATGGATTAGGCATCGGTACATCTGGAGGATCATGTTGTCCTCTATCCATGTCTAAATCGGCTCCACTTCGATCAGATATGCTCCTTAGTCAGCAAAGTGATGTGTCTAGATCTCTCCCATACCCTTTCCATCATGACTGCGCTTTATATCTGATAAGGTCCAAGATAATATCTCTTGGAGCCTTTTTAACATCCTGACCCTACAAAGTAGATCCAACGGTGGGCTCTTAACAGCCTTACAGTGCGCCGTCGGTTATACTAACCTAAACTATCGCCGTCATGACAACAGCTCTGAAGATGGCACATGTCATCATCTTCTCATAGTAGCCGCGTCACAACACGACACCGGTGCTATTGGAGTTGAATGAGATGGGACCCATGTACATGCCAGGATGGGACCCTCAAGCCGACGGGTATATGGATTTGAACCAAATGATGAATCGGCTGGCCTTGGGGAAGGAGGACCAATCTGTCACTGTTCGGGAGTTGATAGAGAATGTGGACAAGTTGTCCAAGGAGAAAACCGAACTAGAGCAAAAGACCAAGGAGGCGAAGAAGTCATACGAAGAGATCTGCCGTATTCGGGGTGCAGAGATTCACTTTGTGGAGAAGGAGAATGCCCATCTTTGAGAGATAGTGCATGACCTAAAGCGACGTTTGATTCAAGTGGATGTGGAGACGCTTGCAAAGTTAGAGAACCTTGCTAACAGATGTGCGTAACATCTGTTCACAAGGTGTGATTGAGTTGAGGCGCAGCTGTTAGAGCAGTTGGTGACAGCGATGGAGAATCCCGGCGATTTGAAGAATCGGAGGAAAGAGATGTATCGGGTTTGTTTTTTAATTTTCATAATATTATTAATATTCTATTAAGTGGAATGTTTTGGACATAGAGATTTGATCCTTCAATTTTAGAAATGAAAGGCTAAGGATTGGGTCATTATTTATACAATTTGTTGTATAAATAATATGTGTAATTGTACATGTTAGGAATCAATTTAGTGTAATAATACTCCAAATTTTGGTTGTGATAGTATAAGATTTATGTACATATTGGATATTATTAAGAAATTACATGAACCATACATAATTTATCTATGATTAATTGGAGTAGACTATTCTCTTTTAATACATTTGTGGATGAATGAATATCATGAAAAATCTTGAAGTATGATCTAGACGAATTATTATATTTTGATATATTATTTATTTTTATGCATAACGATATATATATTTTCAAGGGTTTGTAAATGATGGTTCATAAATATATTAGAGATTGGTTGTATATATAATTATCATTTTAATGATTTCATAGAATTGTTTCAAATGATTACATTTGTGGATAGAGTGAAATTTTTTTTATTTGTTAGTTAAATATTAGATGTAAATCAATTTTTTGAAATGAAAGAAAATATTTGGATATTAAACTAATTGTTATTAAAGATATTTTTTTTATGTATTCTTAAATAATTTTTGTCCACATAAATTTGAGTCTCAATATCATGAGGTAATGTTGTTGAATGTTAGAGCTTTCCTTGTAATTTATGAGAATTGAATTGTCTAGTCAATATAATATGATCATTTTACAATTCATATTATTATTTTTCTATGAATTGTATTTTTCATAGAAATGATTCATTGTTTTATAGTTAG